GGAAAGATTGGCTGGCAGAACATTTTTGACACTATAATAGTTGCAGTGTTTTAAATGAAACTAATTTTTACATCTATGATCAACTACATAACTCGAGCTTAGTTATCTTGTTAACTAAGAGTCTTTCTTATAATCAACGTACTTTCTAATTTACAATTAAAAGTTTTTTGTGATTATTTCATTCTATTTTTATTTTATATTTTTACGTAAAGCATATTGATATTGAATCTATAAAGAAAACCCCATTGCTGCTTTTCATTCATTGGTCAAGGAAGAAAGTCAAGCTCCAATTCCTTGTGGATTCGACCCTATTTAGCGATACTACAATATTATTTTATTGTTTGAATAGGATTTTATTATTGGCGGAATCGACATTCGTCAAATTTTGGCACTGATGTCAGGTAATTAAGATTAACTGATTATTTTTCTTTTTTATGATCAGGACTGATCGTGGAGAACCATTTTTTTATGATCTTAAGGTTGAGAAGATCGCCAAGAGTTTAAGAAAACAAACTACACAAAGAAGACAAACTCACCAAGACAACACCTCATTTGTTGCAACTGAATCAGAATAGATGGAATAGGGATGCACATTGAGAGAGTTGGCAACCCCACCTATAAATTAGCAACCCCTCTGCATCACCTGCCTAGATTTGGATGTTCTTTTTGAGTTGAAATCTGGTTTGATCCATCTACTACCGAAGTTTTGAGGTATGAAAAATTAGAATCTACACAAACAACTTAAAGAGTTCCATGTGGTTTGCTCAAGTATGAAACCACAAGGTGTATCTGAAGAGCAAATCAAGCTGCGAGCATTCCCATTCTCCTTAGATGAAGCAACCAAATAGTGGCTATATTATTTATCTCCCGAATCATTCACAACTTAGGCGGAGATGGTAAAAGCCTTCCTAGATCATTTCTTCCTCGCCACCCAAGCTATCGGTATAAGAAGAAAAATATGTGGAATCCGATAGAAGGATTCTGAGAACCTCCATGACTATTGGGAGAGGTTCAAACACCTTTGCGCAAGCTATCCATAACATGACATATCAGAGCAATCTTTGATACATTATTTTTATCAAGGATTACTTCTATCAGAAAGAAGGATGCTAGATATAGCCAGCAAAGCTGCTATCGTGAACAAGATACCATAACAACCGAGGGAGTTGATATTGATTATGGTAGCCATTTTCCAACAGTTCAGTGCCACATGTGACACCCCTAGAAGGGTGAACAAGGTAAGTATCTCTTGTCATGAATCCCAAATTTTTGAACTAACCAATTTGGTACAAAATATGGTTGTAAAAAATACCCAACGAGCAAGAGTTTGTGGGATTTATGCCCATTCAGGGCATCCCATGGACATGTGTCCCACATTCCAAGAAGACGACCATCAGCAAGTTAATGCAGTGGATGGATTCCAAAACCAACCGTAAAAAAGATACAACTATTTTTGTAACACGTATAATCCTAGTTGGAGAGACCATCCAAATTTTAGCTATGGGCCACGACAACAAAACTACCAACAATACCTGACTAGGCCACCACCGCCGTCACAAACAACACCCTTTAAGCCAAGTACATCTCTTGAAGACAGTTAAATTTTTGGCTACTAACATGCATCAATTTTAGTAGGAAACTCAGTAATTCTAATGGGAAACTAGAGCTAGTATTTAGAATTTAGGGACCTAAATGAGTCAATTAGCAATATCCATGAGTAAGTTGGAATTCAAGGGTAAATTACCCTCACAGACTGATAATGCTTGGAAATAAAATCATTATCACCCACTTTTGGGCTGTTGAACTTGATGGTACGTCATCTAATCCAAGCTATTTTCTGTGTTTTGTTGCAGTGTAGGATACGAGGGCAAAATAGAAAAAAATAGCATAAATTTAGGGACCTAAATGAGTCAATTAGCAACATCCATGAGTAAGTTGGAATTCAAGGGTAAATTACCCTCACAGACTGATAATGCTTGGAAATGAAATCGTTATCACCCACTTTTGGGCTGTTGAACTTGATGGTACGTCATCTAATCCAAGCTATTTTCTGTGTTTTGTTGCAGTGTGGGATACGAGGGCAAAATAGAAAAAAACAGCATGAAGAGAGGAAGAGTTCATGAAGAGGATCATTAGCACAGAAACAAGCCTTGGGAGAGGCTTGGGTCCTGCTCCAGACAGTCTAGCCTTGGAGCAAGGCTAAGAGTCATGCACAATAGTCAATTTAAAAAGAAAAAAGGTGCACGTTTAAAATTTAAAAATAGATCCTATTCAAGCACAGATTTGCGGATAAAAAATCATGGAGATCAATATGGAAAGCTATGGATATGCCAGAAATTAAGGGAAGATTATAAATTGGGAGAGAAGGGAAAGCCTAGCCCTTTTGGAGGATAAAAGGTGAGCTGCGTCCAGTAAAAAGGGGACCTCTATTCTTTCTAATGCGTACACAATAACTTATGTTGCTTCTACAATTTTTCTTATTCATATTTCTTATTCTCTTTACTCTCCAAGAACTCTTTTGTATTGAAAAGCCCACCATGAGTGGCTAACTCATTTTTTTCCTAGTTGATAGATCTAACAAACTTTAGTAATGCATTTATGAGATCTAATCAAACTAATTTGGGTTTCATTTCAGAGCTAGTATTTATTTACTTCCTGCACCTATATATATTTGTTATTTTGAATTCGTTTGAACATTGCCCATCATACGAGAAGAAAAACCGCAAGCAACTAGTTGAACTCCTCAAATTCATAATTGTTTGAGTGGTTCCGGCACCAAGCAATGATTAGTGCGGCATTGAAGAGGTAAGTAATCTAGTTGACCGATTCACACGGATGAATCTAACAGCTTGAATAAGGTCCTTCTAGCTGTCAAGGTCATTGATAAGTTAAATCCTGTGGACGTTCCTAGGTCTGCATGACAACGAAGAACCAACTAACAAATATTTCTTGGTTGGTTTAGGAATAATGAATGATTGGTTATCAGAATGTTTCCAATAATTATAGCTGATTTACCATATTTTGGGTGAAATGAATCCTTGCATCTATGATCAATTACAATAATAGAGTTAGCTATTTCGTTAACTTTGAATCATTTTTATAATTACTTTAGTCTATTTGAAGCTAAGAGTTTGTCTAATATTATTTTGCTCATTGTTTATTTTATATTTTGCGTA